AAACCGAAACCGCCCCCGGCAGCGCGCTTTCCCGCCTCGCCCAATCAGCGGCCGCCTTGCCTACGGCAGCCCGCGGGGATCGAAAAGGTCAGGCCGCCGCAGCGCGCTCGCTTCCGAGAGCCTGTGTAGCGGCGTCTGTGGCGCCCAGGGGCTGGAGGAAAGGTCCGGTATTCTGTTCTCTCTTTTGTGCGAGAAAAATCGAATAAAAAAGCAAAACCAAAAAGCTAGAAGTGATCTTTTGAGATTTCTTTACAGGAAAGAATACCTTGCAATCAAAGGAAACAGAAACTTAACAGTTAAAGTAACAGGCTGTTAAGTACCCAGAAATAGCCTTAAATAATTTAAAGCAAATAAAAGTTAAAAGCCTCAAGCTCTCAAACCGACTTCTGTATATTAATTAAATGTATGAGGTTTAAGTCACTGTTAGAGATTGTTTCCATGGCAATGTTGATACAAGAAATAATAAATCATTTAAGGCAGCTCTGAATTACAATGGCATCAATTGTAAAGATATTACAAATTAGTTTAATTGGAAATTGCATGCAGATACCCTAAGTGCCGTGGGAAGTTGGTCTGGGATAGTGCATGAATTCTTAGTGTATATTTTCTGTTTGTGGAAGGAAAAGATTACAGGAAGACTTAGTTTTTTTCTACACCCATGATCTCATTTATGTTTTATAGTCATAGTTTAATTTATATTTATTTAGAATGATATTTTAACTCCATTTCTGATGTTTAACCACCAACAAAATCATAATGACTCCCAACAACAGTTACACACTTCCGTTAAGTGTTACAGGACCGCAGATGCAGAATTGTCTTCTGAGACAGAAAATGGGTTCCTCCTTTTCCAAGTGCCTCCTACTGAAGGTGGAAAGAAACAGACCTTTGATTGGCATCAGGGACAGAGACAACTGGGTGAAACTTGGTTAAGAACACCGATACTGTTCTATTTCTCTGTAAAACCCTAGTTGTTGCAGGACCAAACAATCACAGACCTTCATAAGAGCATTTTAGGGTCTTGGAATATAAAATATAAAACTAAGAACATAAGCAAAGGTGCATTTAAATCAAATAACTGCCTGCAAAGAACAAACACACTATGCCCTAAAACTGTTGTACAGATCAAATCTGGGGCTCAGCTGATAGCATGCTGGAGTGCGTGAGTGTCTCCAGAAACAGTGTGGGCAGTGGTGCACACCTCCAGTCCCAGCACCCAGCTGAGTGCAGGAGGGTCGGAAAGTCAACATCACCCTCAGCTACAAACGAGTTTGAGACCAGCCTGGGCTATTTGAGACCTTGCCTAAAAATAGTAATAATAACAACATTAATAACAATAATAATAAATTTTGAACTATGTTCTTCAGTGACTGTTTTAATTATTTCGTGTATGTGTATTACATATGTAGACTGAGATAGGTAGGTAGAGATGGATAGATTCACAGCTGCACAGCTGCTCCACTTTACCACCGAGCTGTGATTGATGCAGCCATTGAGGCAGTGGGAAGTCTGGGGGGCCCTGGGTCACCGGCAGAACAGACCTATAAAGTCCCAAGGCGACAAATGGCTGGGACAGCAAACTTATAAATACGCAGTTCTTCCAAGAAGCCTCTCAGCAGCCTAGAACTGGCCTTACGAAGCACCAGACAGCTTTCCACCGTCCATGTGTGCACTTTCCAGCATCTTTTACTATATTTGCTAGGAAAACACGTGTCAAACTTTTTCCAGATTCTGGTTCAAAAGCCAGTCTTCAAAATCCTGCACATAACTTTAATTTGTTAGGGAGAGCTTTTACCATCATGAAAATAATTCAGCAAAGCTTAGTTCAGTTTACTTAGCTCAGTGCTGCAGTTAATACGCCTGCACTGCCGTGCAGAGGCCTGGTTGGCTTCAGGATGCACACCCTGTCTCGATTTTGACACATGCATAAGAGCATATGTCCACAACTACAACACCATCGAGAATACTTTTGCAATCCTAAACATCCTCCGTGCTTTACCCACTTTATCTCTTCCTTCCTCTCAGCCAGTCACTCCTTTTTTTCCCCCTTTCTTGGTGACTTGCTAAAGGTCAGCCTGGTTGTGGCCAAGCTATGGCGATTACCCACAGAGGTGTTATAAATATGCCCAGGTAGATGTTCGTGTGGCATTAAATTTTGAAGTTTTAAACTTATTTTCATTTTTAATTTTAAAAAGGCTTTATTTACTTTATGTGTGCGACTGCTTTCCCTGCACGTGTGTGCGCACCACCTGTGTGCCTGGTGCCCGTGGATGCCAGAAGAGGGTGTCAGATCCCCTGCAGCGGGAGTTGCTGGTGATTGGGGTGCTGGGAACAGAACTTTGGTCTCCTGGAAGAGCCGAAGGCACTCCGAAACACTGACTTCTGTCTTCAGGCCCTGGAATTACGTTTTAAGCCATCCGGACGAACATCAAAGAGAACTGTTGCTGGGTCATGCAGTGTTTACTCTTGACTGTGGTGCTGTCTCCCCATTTCACATGTCCCCAGCAGTGAGCAGCGGCTTCTGTCACCCCTCACCCTTCACATCATGTCTCCAGTATTTTGGATTTGGGCCACTCTAAGAAGAACACTGCAGAATCTCACTGTTGTCCTAATGTGTAATATGACCTGCGATGTGGAGCATGTTTTCCCATGTGTGGTTTCCATCCTATGACTTCTTTAGTCATGTGTCTGTTCAGGCCTTTGGCCTTGTTTTGAATCAGTTTGTTCTTTTGTTGTTGAGTTATAGGCATTCTTTTTAGTTGCTAGATAATAACCCCTTGCCATTGTGTCTTTTGCAAATGTTTCCCCCCTGGTCTGCAACTTGTCTTCTCAATCTTCTAAAAGCTGTTATTCCTAAAACAGATAAACGTTGCTCTGAAATACTAAAGCACAATCTTGCCATGTCATTGTTAATTGTGTACCTCTACCATTCTTTGTGCCAATTGTGTGTGTGTGTGTGTGTGTGTGTGTGTGTGTGTGTGTGTGTGTGTCTCAGAGGGCAGTTGAGTGTCATTTCTTGGGATTTTAGCTGGGCTTTTTGGCTACTTTAGTGGGTTATTTTCCTATATCACCCCATTCTTTCCAACCTCCCAACACTAGGTAGAAGAGAAAGAAGGCCAGAGGGAAAGGAGGTATTGATCTTCTTAAACTACTTCCTCCTGATTAGGGACATCAAATTCCTTGGGTCGAGTTTGATCTTCATCATTAGGATATCATCAACCAGCAACCCAGCAAACAGCAAACAGGAACAGCAGCAGAAGCAGCAGCAACCAACGAGCAGCAGGAGAAAACGGGAAAAAGGAGGAGCTGCACAGGCTCTCTGGGAAGGGGGAAGGTCTTGTATTTATACCTTCCCAAGAGTCCCCAGAATTCCAAATGTAAACTATCTTCAGCTGGCAAAATCACCCTCTTGCCAGAGCGTGAGGCAAATCATAGTTAGCTGCTGTGGACAATTTGAAGGAGCCCCATTTCCCACACCTGGTAAAACAAAAACATATTCTAAACATAACTGGGCTTTTTAAGAATCTAAAATTCTCATTCCATGGGACCTATTTTTTGGGACAAGGCCTCTCACTGCGGTTTGGACATGTTTACTCAGTGAAGCTGACTAAGCCATGAGCCTTCTGGATCCACCTGCCTCTGCCTCCCCAGAACTGGGGTTACAAACATATGCCACCATGCCCAGCTGAGGATAAAGCTCAGGTCCTGTGTTTGCTCGGCAAGCACCTAACTGACTGAACCGTCTCCTCAGCCCCAAAGCAGTTTTTTGTTTTTTTTTTTTTTTTTTTTTTGTAGCCTTTGAAGAGCTATGCCCTTCAGTGTGACACGTTTAGAAGAGAAGGCCTCATGTCTGGCTTACTTCATGAAGTTCATGAAGCATACAACGGCCCTGTGAGTGTATGAGTGATTGGATGATAAAAACAGATACTAAACTGGATTGTCCAACATTTTC